CAACGTACCAAATTGTAACTAGTTAGATAGAACGGCCTTTGGCCAAAGTCCTACATAGCCAACGGCTGATACAGGACTATAATGGAATAATAATAGTCGCAAAATGACCTCTGGCAAATACTCAGCGTCTTCTAAGTACACTAAGACGCTATGGAATCAGCAAAATGAACCTAAAGCTCACAAACCAATCTCTAAGAGAGATTCATCTGTTGCAGCCCCAGCCACAGGCGGGAAGTCTATGGCTGATGTTGGAACACTTCATTTGAACGATGTCAACGATTCTGGCGACTGTCTGGCAGCAGAGAACAGCCTGTCTGCAATGCGCGGGGAAAACTGTTCCCAAAAGCCCGTTAGTCAATTAGATGATCCCGGAAGTCCTCAGCGGTCCATACCCAAGCCATCAAGCAAGTATTCAGCCAAGCCTACCAACACAACCGAGCTCCAGTCTCCTCGATCTGGATCCCCAGTTCGTATACAACCACGGAGCACGTCAAAACCCCGAAATGCTCCCCATCAACTCGACCCTACTAGCCCTCCGCAATTTGATGAGCGGTATCCCGACCTTCTGTTACAGCCGGAATCCCGTCCGATTTCACTAAAGAAACTAGCATCTGAGGTCAAATCTATCTATGCTAACCTTGTGATGGTTGAAAATGAGTGTAGATACATTGATCATGCCCAAGCAGCCGCTGTACAGGATCCTAATACAAAGCTACCTCCTGATCACTGGCAGGCATTGATAGCTTTACACCGCACCCTCTTGCATGAGCATCATGATTTTTTCCTAGCCAGTCAACATCCTTCCGCTTCTCCGGGGCTTCGTCGCATAGCAGTCAAGTATTTTATGCCCGCGCGTATGTGGAAGTATGGCATTCATTCCTTTTTGGAATTACTTCGACGGAGTCTTCCCGATAGCATGGATTATATGCTGGCCTTCATATATTTGGCCTATCAGATACTGGCATTACTTTGCGAGACGGTTCCTGCATTTGAAGATACTTGGATGGAATGTTTGGGTGATTTGGGGAGATACCGTATGGCTATCGAGAATGAGGACGTCCGTGACCGTGACACGTGGGCAGGCGTAGCACGATCCTGGTACACGAAAGCAGCGGACAAAAACCCAATCGTTGGACGTTTATACCACCATTTGGCGATTCTGGCAAGACCCAACGCTCTCCAGCAGATCTACTACTACTCCCGGTCTTTCACTTCCGCCGAGCCCTTTGAAGCTGCACGCGAGTCAATCCGGACTCTTCTAGATCCCGTCGTTGATCACAACGCCGCTAGTCTCCCGCACGCTCTTCCCATCGATATCAGCTTCATGAAACCCCATGCTTTACAATTTTTGGGACGTTCGGTCAAGGACGATAAGGCGTCGGAAGAATTCTTAAAGGCTAAGACTGAGTTCGTGGACAGCTTGGATAGCTATATCAGTCGAGTCAAGGCAGAGTGGAAGGATCAAGGCGTATGGGTCGCCGTCACGAACATCGCGGGCTGGTTTGGATATGTTATGGGCTCGAACATTCTTCACCAGGCATTCCTTATCGATTTAGAAAACAAGGAGCAGAATACTTCGTCTACCACCGTGAAAGACGACATTCGAGCAACAGAAATCTCAAGTCAAAAGAAAATACCGAAACCCAGCATAGCATTCGGAAGGGTCATAGCAAGCATGAGTTGTTTCATGGAACAGCCAGTATTGCAAAACGCCAAAGCTCTGACGCACGAAGTCTTTATAGTCGCGCTCCAACGCTTAGGCGATGAGAACGTGCTTTCGCACGTAAACGTCATGCTTGCTTTCACTGCATCAATTGCTTTTAACGAATACACTTCTGACCTAGTGAGCGATATGCCTTGGACTGCGATCGCCACTTTCCTCAATGCATTGGTCAAGACCGAGATTCAGGCGAGATCTCAATCGCATACCCAATTAGGGAACATCGACACCATTATCACTTCCAGCGTCTTTCCTGATGACGGTGAGAGAGTCAGCGAGTTGCCACTCCCGGAAGACTACCTCACACGAGGTCTGATCTGGACTCATGGCTACTTCCCCAAGAAATGGTTCGATAGAGAACATGACGAGGAGAAACGATATATTGAGGCCGCAAGAACAGCCAGAAACCGGACTAACAGGGTACTGAGGCTTGGGTACGCACTTGCAGAGGTAAGTTTGTTGTCCTTATGTTCTCTCCCTTTTTCCCTTTTTTCTGTTTTAAATTTAACTGAAACACAGTATAACTATTGGATTTCGTATGACAACGACACACACAAATTCCGAGTCCTCGGCCCAGATGACCACAGGGAATAATTGCGTTTAATGCCCACCTGGGAAATGGTATATGGGCGCTAACAAATCCGTCTTGTTCCATGAGACACATTGGGCTTGCCCATATGCCCGCTGTTATGTATATTGGCCATTTGCCGATCGGTCATACCGTCGTCGTCCTCATCTTCTGCTTTAACTTACCACCAATGGCTACAAATTCGCTATGTCTCGCTCGTTCGTCTCTTGAATTTCATATCAGTCACAAGCCCATTGCTGCTTCACTGCGGATCTCTCATCACAAATCTGGTTACCTTCCCAATGCGGTCTACTATAGCTAGCTCAATAAGAGCACTTTACAGGTGGACAGAATACACAAATTTGTGGTACTTCATGTGCAATAATAAATTGAGTCGGAAGTTTGCTTAGTTTAGAATTCAGATATCCCAATGTATGGTAAAGCAAAATCTATTATGGTATGCAAGTGATTTCCCTAAGTTTGACTCGAGTATGTCTTTAAATTTCTATTTTATCTAGTGATAGAGTAATAGATGCAAACAGTGTAATCTTGATTAAACTAGTGACTAGTGGAATATAGAAGACACTCGTCGCTCTCAATCAGAGGCACGAAGGCCCACGACTGGGGTTCTAAAATATTCGTGATTCGATCGGTTTATCGAAATTCCCTTAAAGATACGTGACGCTGGTTGGCTTGGCGGATAAGAAACCTTCAATGCCGAGATTCCATGAATTGTTAGTCTAAGGCGAATATTCTAGAACGATCTGAGCTTTCTTAAGCATCTCAAACTCGGTCCGTACTAAGAGGTCATTGGAGCTCCTTTCTAGGCGTCGTTCCTTAATCGTGCACGGTCGAAAATAGCTGAAATGGAGTATTATCAGAAACACTGTCTTTTTCTGAAGGCATGTATATCACCAGTACAACGACACCAGCTGGCAGCGCTGTTCAAAAAGATTTGTTGCATTAAAATCTCGTCGGAAACACCAATAATCTGTTGTAAAGTATCTACTGTGTCCGTTTTACTAAAAAATTGTGTGAAAGAGAGATAGAACTCGGTTCTGTGATGCCTTGCTCTTGAGATTCGCCATGCGTGACCTTCAAATTCTCGCTCTCGAATTGTGCCCCAAGCGCCAAAACAAAATGCCAGCCTTCAGGGATCTCTCGTTGTAGAGAGCCGTGTGTCGGACCACGAATAGTCTCCTCATCTTCAGGATAGCTCATCGGTACGTAAGGTTGAAACAAGATGTCGACGAGCCATGTGTTCAGGCGTTCATTGTTTGACAGTAGACGAAAGCCTGCCGTGTACGATTCGTCATCCTCTTGGAAATTGAAGTTCACTTGACGCTGTAACGCTAGTTGTAGCCCCGTCTCTTGGGGTGTGGAATTGGCGATTTGGTCGTTCTGGTTGGCGATTTCCCGGCTATCCGCAGTTGCACGAGTTACTTGCAAGGCACCCTGATCTACCGGGATTTTCTCAGTTCCAGCAACAGGAGAGCTATCTGCGCGAACGTTTTTCAACTTGTCGATGAATTCCGACTCCTTCCTTAAGTATCTTAATTCCTTCAGCGTGTAGTTTTGTTCCGTGTCGTCATATTCGGCCTCCAGTGAACCTAGCTTGTCTCGAAAAGCATCAATCAGCTCAAATGTTTCCACTATATCTTGGGGTAAGGTGATATCTTGCTTATGTAGGAAAATACGCAACTGATTGATCACCAATTCTTCTTGAGAACCGGTTTTCTCACGTGCCTCGGATATCTTTTGTCGATCCCTCTGCATCTGAAATCGAGAACCCATAAGATCCTCCCTTTCTATCACCAGCGCTTCATGTTGTCTTTCGATTTCGGAGAATTCACGTGATGGGATCCCTTCATTCGGAACTTCAGGTCTCCTTGCTGGTATCGCATCCAGTATCCGGGGTGGAATAGCAGATTGCGGGGGTGGTGGAGGTGGTGGGAGGTTGGCATAGCGGCCCATGTTTGAAGGCCGTACAGGTGGGTCATCTCCTCGTTCATGTGTGCGCATGCTGGTATGTGGGCGGTTATCAGAGGGAGTCTGTATTTCGATCGATGCGATGTCTTCCACTCCACTGCTATTGTCATTCGTGAGGACTATCGCTTTGCCACGGCGACCGATCGAAATATATGGGAATTCACGCAATTTTTCTAGATAGTAATCATTAATCTCGTTCTACCTGTAATCGGTCTGTATGTGCACACCGAGGATTTTGCGCTTTGGTAGAAAAGCAAACAACACTTTGCCTGGGCTGCTCTGTGATCGCGCAACCATCTAGAGCGACATGTCAATGTTAGGGTTGTCTGGAACCTTTTGAGGGATGGTTCGCCCGATGGTAAAGGGACATGGGCTGTCCCACTAAGAATGCTATGGTATAGTATACTCGCTCCCTTTACAACCCCTGTCATGCAAGCTGCGGATGCAGGTGTCGCCAACCGTCCGGCCTGTTCAGCCACCTACTGATAACAGGCATCACCTCGGCTTCGACGAGTACAGCTCGCCCATTTCCAGCCTGGAGTGCTGAGATCAATATGGCGTCAACAACATCGCTAATCGACTCATGAGCTCTGCACCTCTCTCACTTATGTGGCAAGAAGTTTTGGTGGATTTTTGGCTTCTCAAGTTGCCAGTTTTTACTTGAACAGAGCCTTGTGTGACCTGTGACGATTAGGTTGTCGTGCTATCAATAGCAGTCGGTACCACTTGAATCATGTCTGGACCTGTACAGAGCGATCGATAGTAAAGATGTTATCATAGCTACCGCGCGTAAGCGACGATGAAGAGGACTGTGGCTTCAGCCAAAAACTAACCTATCTATCCATTGTTTCAACTAGTATCTGCCCAGTGCTCTAATCAGTTCCGCTTGCTGCTGACCTAGTTCCTCCGGTTGGCTGCTATGGCTGATCTAGTGGAGGTTCAAGCGCTGATCATGCAACCTAGTGCTATCTGAAGAAGCGTGCTTTGAACATTATGGCACACCTGCAGCCAACGGCTAACTTGATCGCCCACACTTTTCCATAACACACAACAGGGAGTGATTATAATACCCACCCAAAGATGCAATGGAAAATGCGGTACTGGTAAGAAACACATTGATGACTGGTCACTTTACATAGGAGTTTCTTGACATTCTGCAAGCTTTCGATGGCTGTTGAGGGGCCGCTGCCGATGAAGCCCGTTGCACGGGCCGAGAAGACGCTAATCTCTTGAAATTAACACACTGTCCTTGAACCGGGGTTGTTTTATTTACTGTTGCCAAAAAGATGCACATGCATGCACTGCGTCGCCTGCAGCTGTAGCCCTTCATCAGACATGGGTTGGCGGTCAATCTACCCTGCACTGGCGCTTCTGCTGAACCTGAGCTTGAGGCGAATGCTAAGACTAGGCTTCCCTGGCATTTGCTGCCCACGGCTGTTGGCGTATTACTGGGCTGAAAATTATGATTGGCAAAGAGCAAGGCACACTCGGGCCGTTGCCTGGTTGCCTTATTATCGGGCGATTTGGTACGAGATGCGAATGAGTAGTAGTATAGACGCGTGGCCAGGACCCCGGAAATCATACTAGGTATCCCTGAGAATGCACAGACAGCATATCGTCTTGGTGAGTTACTGGACGTGCGAGGTGTGGCCCGCTTTGACCATGTGGAGGCAGGGGTTGGACAGCACGCCTGACGGAACGGGACTCAAGCCGCGATTATGCACAGCATGGACGTTGGTCGCATACTTACCAGTACTTACCACGCTTGGGCCATGAGGAGTCAGGGATCAGATAGCACGCCTGACCGGGCTCGTGCCATGCACATGCAACCGCGATAGCAATAGCCAAGCGGCTCGGTTAGCTAGCCCAACACGTCACAAACCAGTTAGCGGTGTGCCATGACCAAGAGGCGTCCAAGCTGTGCGGGGTCCAAAAGATCTTCAAGCTCGCTCAGACCAGTCGTCGGGATGGCGAATTTGTCATGGGACTATACATCAAAACTGAGATGCCGACTCTGAGCCAGTCTGCCACCAGCAATACT